ATTTTATTCATGAGAGACACAGAGAAGCAGGGTCCCTGCAGGGGGGCGGTGGCGGGGTGGTGGGGAGCCGGATCTCGCCCTGAGCCAAAGGCACTCAACCACTGAGCCACCCCGGCGCCCCATAGAATGGCTTTTTTTTTTTTAAGTTTTTATTCATTTACTTTTTTTTTTTTTTTTTTTTTATGATAGGCACACAGAGAGAGAGAGAGGCAGAGACACAGGCAGAGGGAGGAGCAGGCTCCATGCACAGGGAGCCCGAGGTGGGATTCGATCCCGGGTCTCCAAGATCGCGCCCTGGGCCAAAGGCAGGCGCCAAACTGCTGAGCCACCCAGGGATTCTCCCTAGAATGGCCTTTTAACATGCCAAACTATTTGGTTACCTGTACAGAGAAGTGAAGCCTATGACTTATGAAATCCTCCCAGTGTTAGCAAAGACCCTATAAGACATATGGGATCACGTGCCCCAGTATTCTGACCTTAAAGACAAGTTATAACCTCCCACATAGAGGAAAACATATGTACTGAGCCCGTGTAAGTTAGTGTATCTTTCAGGACCATGAATTGGCGCAAATATAGATGATTATGTGTTTGTGTAAACAGGGGCTTGGGATATTCTAGTCCTAGTTTCAATAATAATAATAATAATAAAACCTTTAGATTCTGTAACTTAGGTTCTTCAATTGTTAGCTATATACATAAATTACATTCTATTTTTTTCTGGCTTTCAGATTTCTAATGAATAGTTTCTGAAAAAAAGGTGTGTGTTTTTTTTAGAGCTTTGAAGGCAAAAATTACACATTTCTTAACTATTTTTATGATAGTTTAATGATACTTTAGAAAGTAAATTTGAATTATTTTTCACTTAATTGGAATGAATATATTTGAACAGGACTGTTTATATTTTTATTGATTCTACTCAAAATGTCTGAAACTTTTTTTTTTAAAGTAATCTCTACACCCAACGTGAGGCTTTAACTCACAATCCTAAGGTCCAGAGTTGTATGCTCTACCAACTGTACCCGCCAGGTGCTCCAAAATGTTTCAGACTTTTATGTTGAAGAACTGTTCTGATTTTTACCATCTTTTCTACAATTTACCTGACAACAGGACTTCTGTAGTATTTTAAAATTTTTTTTTTCACATTAGATACTGTTATTTGCAGATTTAGGAATTTGAAATTTTTACAAACTGGAAGGAAAGAAAAATAGTCACAACTAAAAAACAGATATAATTAAAAAAAAACAAAACAGCTGTGAATTATATAAACAGAAATGTTAACATAATTATGTTTTAGAAAAGAAGCACTTTAGTTCATATTGTACATTCGTACTATATAAATTATAGTAGGAATACTTGTCAAGAATTTAATCAAATTAAGGAATTTTGAGTAATATACTTTTTTCTTTTTAAATATAGCACATAAAACGGGGATCCCTGGGTGGCGCAGCGGTTTGGTGCCTGCCTTTGGCCCAGGGCGCGATCCTGGAGACCCGGGATCGAATCCCACATCGGGCTCCCTGTGCATGGAGCCTGCTTCTCCCTCTGCCTATGTCTCTGCCTCTCTCTCTCTCTCTCTGTATGACTATCATAAATAAATAAAAATTTAAAAAAAATATTAAATATAGCACATAAAACATAACACCTTGGGGATCCTTGGGTGGCTCAGTGGTTTAGCACCTGCCTTCAGCCCAGGGCGTGATCCTGGAGACCTGGGATCAAGTCCCACATCGGGCTCCCTGCATGGAGCCTGCTTCTTCCTCTGCCTATGTCTCTGCCTCTCTCTCTCCTCTGTGTCTTTCATGAATAAATCAATAAAATATTTAAAAAAAACATAACACCTTTATTCATTTTTTATGAAAACATTCCTTTAAAAGCTTTTTATTATTTTAAAAAATATTTTATTCATTTATTCATGAGAGACACAGAGACATAGGCAGAGGGAGAAGCAGGGAGCCCGATGTGGGACTTGATCCCAGAACTCCAGGATCATGACCTAAGCTAAAGGTAGACACTGAACCACTGAGCCACTCAGGTGGTCCTCCTTTAAAAGTTTTTAAAACTAATTTCAGGGATCCCTGGGTGGCACAGTGGTTTGGCGCCTGCCTTTGGCCCAGGGCGCGATCCTGAAGACCCGGGATCGAGTCCCACGTCGGGCTCCCGGTGCATGGAGCCTGCTTCTCCCTCTGCCTGTGTCTCTGCCCCTCTCTCTCTCTCTGTGTGACTATCATAAATAAATAAAAAAAAATTAAAAAAAAATAAAACTAATTTCAGTGTAGGCTTTGATCCAAAGAAGGTAATGCTGTTCTATGAAATGTTACTATTTGAATATGAATATATTTTGAGTTCATGAAATAAAAAAGCCATTAAAAAAGAGCATAATACCATTGTTAGGATCATGAGTTATTTTCTGAAGAGTTAATTGGAAATAATGCCTTTAATTAAAATGTAATGCCAGTAATAATCTTTCTCTCCAACAGATTTTAAGAAAAAGATAAAGGTGCTGTACTTAGAGCAAAACAAGTTAAAATTTCTTTTTTTTAAAAAATTATTTATTTATTCATGAGAGACACAGAGAGAAAGGCAGAGACACAGGCAGAGGGAGAAGCAGGCTCCATGCAGGGAGCCTGATGTGGGACCCGATCCCAGGACTCCAGGATCACGCCCTGAGCCAAAGGCAGACGCTCAACCACTGAGCCATCCAGGGGTCCCCAAATTAAAATTTCAAGGAAAAATTCAACATTGCACCACTAGGGAGTTAAAAACAAACTATAGCTATTCCTTAGAAGGAACTAATTATAAACTAACTTCAGATAATACTTAGAATTGGCTACAGCAGGAATTGAATTCAATTTATTACTCTGTTAGCTAAGATAAATTGCATGCATGGCTTGAATCAAGAGTCCAGGGAAAGCATGTTCTGCCGACTAGGAATGAAATTTACTCTTTAGAAACAACTTATAATATTATAATATTATATCTGAAATTTTTTTTGCTCCCCCACATTGAGAGCCATATTGCCCCACTGAGAAAATACAGCCTAAATGACTATTATATGAGTATATTCTTATAGGGGGTCTTCCTTTGCTTAGACAATATGTGCTATGCCAACTTCAGATTTGTAATATGCTTCTCTTGGACTCAATCCTGGAACCCAACCAATAGGCCTCTTCCTCAACATAACTATCACTACAATAGTGTCTACACAGGATAGTCTAAATGTGCTCATCACTCTTCATATGTGCTTAACTAGTGAACTAATTTCCAGGAAATACATGCTTTATCAGCATTTTCTTTTCTCTAGTTCACATAGATGTCCATCCATCTATTCATTTAGTCATTCAACCTTTACGTGCCTATTACATGTTAAAGTAGTGGATATGCAGTGATAAGATAAAGCCACTATCCTCTTGGAATTTACAATCTAGTCCAACTTGTTCCTACCTCTCCCTTATTTCCTAAATACAGATTCCAACCATTATTGGTGCCACGGTCACAATTCTGAGGCTGCAAAGATTTCTTTGGACATGCCCGATCTAGACATTTTCTTTCTTTTTTTTTTTTAGGATTTATTTATTTTAGAGTGGGATTGAAAAAGTGCATGGGTGCACAGTGAGGAGGGGCAGGCAAATAGGGAAAGGGAGTCTTAGGCAGACTCTGGCTGAGGGCAGAGCCCAATGCAGAGCTCAATTTCAGGACCTTGAGATCAGGACTTGACCTAAACCGAGTCTGAGGCTTAACAGACTACACCCCCCAGGCACCCCTTGACATTTTCCTAATCACTTGTAGATGATTTAGCCATAGAAGCATCAGAAGAACTTACTGAAGAAGTATGCCATGGTGAAAAGAGTTGGTATTTAGAAGACAGGTAGCTGTAGTCTTTATTCTTTCTTACTGTGATGCCACAGAGTTATTTCAACTCTGGGAGCCTTGTTTTACAACCATATTACAGAGTTACTGTGTGGCTGTAAATTAAAATACTTTATACGGAACCAGGCCAGTCTATTATAAAGAAATCATTAAACATTTTTTACAATTTATTCATTTATTCCTTACATTTATTCATGAGAGACACAGAGAGAGAGAGAGGCAGAGACACAGGCAGAGCGAGAAGCAGGCTCCGTGCAGGGAGCCCGACGTGGGACTCGATCCCTGGTCTCCAGGATCACGCCCTGGGCCGAAGGCAGACGCTCAACCATTGAGCCACCCAGGCGTCCCTATTAAACACTTTTTAAACATTTGTGTGAGATTTAGAAAAAGACTAAAAACTTTTCCTACGGTTATGTGTAAATGGCCACAGTGAGCTGCAAAAACAAATATCTACGGCAAGGAGGCAATTATTTTTAGTTTCCTATTCAATCATAAAAAGTCAGGCTTTCATTAGGCACCTTCTCCTTTTGAATCTTTTGCTTCATGGGTAACACATAAATTGTGCCAAGGGTCTGGGAGCCTTAAAGTATAACTCACCTATGATACAGGTAACTGCTGGCTTCATTCAACTCATTGTATATGGGTTTCTAAGTTTTAGCTGATCATTCATGAATATTAACACACCATTAACCCAGCTTTCAAAAACTTGAATAACGGCGTTCGTTCATTCACAGCTGAGGTCAGATTAGCCTGCCTCTGGGAGAGAAAGTAACTTCTGAGCTCACAGGGTGGCTTAGAGGATCAAATCAACTGTGGCTGCTTCCTCCCGTTGGAGGTCACTGACTGGACTTCTAGGCTGACGTAGGCCTGCAAAGCCTCCCCATTTCCTTACTAACCCTGGCATCCACCCTAGGCCCTAGATCCGGGGGCTCACCCGGGCTGCCGCCGCCCCTTCCCGCCTCGGAGGCGGGGCAAACCACCTGCCGCTGGAGGCGCGGCGGGCGGAGCTCGGAAACTCCGGAGCTGTGACGTCCCGGTACTTTGCGGCTGCGCATGGGGGCGGGGGGGGGGGGAGGCAGGAACCAGGGAGGGTGGGCCGCGTCGCCGGAAGTGACGCAAGCCGGAAGCGGCTTTCCGCTGAGAACCTGGGGGCGCGGTTTTGGAAATGAGGTCCGAAGGCTGAATGCGGCTCGAGCGAAGCCCATCTATCTTCCAGGCCTGTTCACAATGGATTAGCTTGTCACTTTTTTTCTTTTATTCTTTTGCTCCCCCCCCCCCCGTGTATTTTCTGCGACGTGAGAGACCTGTCCTCAGGGTAATTTCCGCGAACGTCCCTAAGGGAGGAGCAAGGATGGGTGTAGTGGAGGCGAGGCCGCGGCTCTAACTGGCTACGCTGGGGAAGCGCGGAGGTACCCCCGCAGTCCCGAATGGGTCTTGGAAAGAGCGGCGCGATTTTCCTGGCCGTCTGGTGGTCCCGGCACGTGTGGGTGGTTACTTGTCAAGACGCTGCTCACTGTTAATTCGGAAAGAGAAAAAACAAAAAAAACAGCAAAAATCACCGTTTTCCAGCACTTTTCTTGGAGGAGAACAAAGCAATAGGGAAAGATGTCTGTTTTCCCTAAAATATCCTTGAGACTTGAGGTTGAAAAGTATCTTAAAGAGGGTTTTCTGAATAAGGAGGTAGGTCAAAGAAGCCTGTGAGATATTTGCAAAAATTCAAATATTTACGCACTCTGGAGAAAGAAAGAAAGAAAAAAAAGCCTAGAGGGAGAACTGGTCTTTTACACCGTTGTTTCTTGCAGTTTTTTTTTCGAATGTAAAGAACTGCCAGTATCTTCCCGCGGGTATTTAATGCTTTCGATATAAGAGGTGAAGGAGGTCTACAGATTCATCATTTAGGAAAGTGGTCATGTGCGTGGCAGTAGGCATGGGATCGAAGGGGTTACAAGAAGGAGCGAAAAACCGATTCCTCCTGTGGAGAATTTAAGTCCAGGGGAGACGTTAACACCTGTGCTCCTAGAGCGCTTGCTGTGGGACTCCAGGGAAGGGGATACTGTAATTTAATGCCTCTTCAATGCCGCTAGTTGTGCTAGGTGATTGGCAGACCTTTGCATCTAATACTAGCAATCATTTTTTTCTAGTAGGGATTTCTTCTCCATTTTATTTATTTTTTAAAGATTTTATTTATTCATGAGAGACACAGAGAGGCAGAGACAGAAGCAGGCGCCCTGCGGGGAACCTGATGGGGACTCCATCCCAGGACCCCGGGGTCACGACCTGAGCTGAAAGCAGATGCTCAAACCACTGAGCCGCCCAGGTGCCCCTTCTTTTCCATTTTAATTGGGGAGAGAACTGAGCATCCCAGGAGTGAGTCCTATAGCTGACCCAAATTGACACTGCTATCAAGTAATAGGGCTAAAATCTGAAGCAGAAGAGCTCAGGTCCAATGGAAAAAAAACAACAACACAGATTTGGAATCCCAAGTCCTTGATTTGTGTCCCTGGGCTTTGAGTAAATTATTTCATATTGTTTAACTTTCTTTTTCTGTGGAAACTGAGTTTTTTTTTTTTTTTTTTTTAAGATAGTCACAGAGAGAGAGAGAGGCAGAGACACAGGCAGAGGGAGAAGCAGGCTCCATGCACCGGGAGCCCGACGTGGGATTCGATCCTGGGTCTCCAGGATCACGCCCTGGGCCAAAGGCAGGCGCCAAACCGCAGCGCCACCCAGGGATCCCCGGAAACTGGGGTGTTAAAAAAAATACTTACAAGAGTGTTTTGAAACATTAAACATAAAGTGAATGGGATCCCTGGGTGGCTCAGCGGTTTAGCGCCTGCCTTTGGCCCAGGGCACGATCCTGGAGTCCCGGGATCGAGTCCCCCATCGGGCTCCCGGTGTGGAGCCTGCTTCTCCCTCCTCCTGTGTGTCTCTCTCTCTCTCTCTCTCTGTCTCTCTCTCTCTCTCTCTCTGTCTCTCTCTTTGTCTCTCTCTATCATAAATAAATAAACAAATCTTTAAAAAAGAAAAGCCACTCCTTTGTGAGAGTATTGGAGGTAAAGGTATATTCAGTTTTAATAAAAACAAACTAGAGAAAGTACTAATACTTTGGAAGCTGGAGGATTAGTAGGTTGGCAGGTGGTTTATGAATATGCCATGAGGCAGGGTACAGTCAAAGGTGACAAAAATGGGAAAATGCATATCTCATGAAGCTTCGGTTAATCACAGGGGGACTTGGTTTTTTGAGTCTTTAAGCCCCCATTTCTGACAGGTTATCTTTGCTACTTGTCTTTTTTGGACGATTGTTACCCTTAAAAATACCATGTGAAAAAGCTAATGTGAATGACCTTTGGAGGACATGGAGTATCTGTTGAATATTATTCCAATATTGGTGTTTTTTTTTTAAGATTTTATTTATTTATTCATGAGAGATACAGAGAAGCAGAGACACAGGCAGAGGGAGAGGCAGGCTCCACGCAGGGAGCCCAACGTGGGACTCGATCCCGGTTCTCCAGGATCATACCCTGGCTGAAGGGGCACTAAACCGCTGAGCCACACGGCTGTCCAAAATATTGGTGTTTTAAAAGATTGCTAATCTAGACCTGAGGTTAGCTGGTAAATAGCTCTACAAAATGACATAGCATTTAATACATTATAAATAGAATGATCATGAATTTATATGAATAAGTGTAGCAGACATTAATATGTTCAAAATGTTAGTGATGCTTTAAGTTTGAGACAATGTGTTTTCCAAGCCCTTTTTGTTAAGCGTTTATTATTACAATTAAGCCAAAAACCCTGTGAAATATTACATTGTTAGTGTTAACACACAAACAATACAGCAAAATGAAATGGACCTGAACAATTGCTGAAAGATATTTCATTAGAACAAATGTGTGTGCATAATATGCTTAATGTTTTTAGTTAATTTGTATAGTCACATTGAAACATTAACTTGTTTTCCTCTTTTCAGGTTATATCTGCTTTTGGTAAACAAGAAGCAGAAAGGAAATTTGAAGCTCTGTTAAATCACTTATCGCATCCTCCATCATTCACAACTGTCAGAGTAAATACACATCTAGCCTCAGTGCAACAGGTGAAAGATCTGTTGTTTCATGAACTTCAGAAGGTATGTGCAAATTTTCTGTCATTATGTCCATAATTGCATTTCTACAATTTATGTCCTATTACTCCCCACTAAAATACTATGATTTTAAAATATTGATTGAATTTTATAAATAAGGAGATTGAATATCATGAATGTTAAGTTGTTCAAGTGCTGATGTTAGAGGTAATGTTAGAACTTGAATGTAGCACTTCTGATTCTGAATTTATTACAGTGACTAAATAGGTTACTCAATCCTTCTGGGCCTGTTACTTCATCATTATCATACATATGAAAATACATAGAATCCATATGAAAATTCATGGAATACGTATGAAAATATGTAGAAAACATTCTAACCTTCAAAGCCTGTATTTGTAATGTTAGCTAGTTAGGATCTAACTTAAAAGCAAGAGGCAAGCATAGTTAAAGGGCTTCTGTTTGTATATAATAGGCTGTATTATTAGTTTACTGTAGATATAATATTAAATCTTTAGAGAATCATCACTGGTTTTGATTATTTTTTTTCTAATCTCATTACATTTATTTAATTTATTTTTGTTTAAAGATTTTATTTATAAGAGAGAGTGAGTGTGCCTGTGTGCATGCACAGAAGGAGAAGCAGGCTCCACACTTAGTGGCAGAGCTTGATCTCACAATCCTGAGATCCTGACCTGAGCCAAAATCAAGAGGTGGACAATCAACCGAATGAATGGGGTTGCCTCTAATCTTATTTCTAGAATGTTTGTCGTACTGTCTTTGAGAGCAGTTTTATAAATTTCAGGTTTTAAGTAGATGACCATGGTATAAGAACAATCAACTGTGGTATCTGAGTGTGTGACACTCAAACTTAGTATAATGAGAAGACTTGGAGGAAAACTAATCTGCATTTGAATTATTGATAGTGATAATTTTTTTGAGAGTAATGTCATAAGGCATAAAATGTAAGTAGTTCCTCCAAGCAACCAAAATTAATTAATTTTGTGTGGTCACACGTATGTTTTCAGCTAGTAAAAAGGAAAGTGTTCTGAGGCCCATCAAAGTGTCCATAACTCTTGCAGATCCAGATTATTTTCTTATTTTCTTTTCTAACAAATTATTCCTACAATCCAGATAATGTATTCCAGTCTAATGGGCCTATAAGATCTTACGGACTAGTATCTAGAATAAGGCAGACAGAATCACTCTGGATGGACTTTGAGTCCCTTAAAAGAGTAGACAGAGAAGGTTGGGTCCCAAGCACTAGATAGGAAACTGGTGGTAGAGCAATACCTGTTTCTAGTAGGACAGGATGTTGGAGGTAGTTTTAGAGCATATATTTTCTTCCTCCTTCCATAGTCCAAAATTCATGTGTGTCCTAATGGGATGATGGAGGGGTGAATGCTTTGTCTCCAGATTTCTCTGAGCCACATGTTAAAATTTAATAATTTAAAATTTCATATGGCTGGGGAGGATGGAGGGAAACTAGAACCTTCATATATTCCAGGTGGGAATGTCAAATGGTTTGGCTTTGGACGATGGTTTTGTAGTCTCTTAAAAAGTTAAACTTGTTGTACAACCCAGAAATTCCACTCCTAGGTATGAAACCTCTTTCATTTCAAGAGAAATGAAAACCTATGTCCCCACAAATGCTTGAACATGATTCTTTGTATCAGTATTTAAAATAACCAAAAGGGAGACACTATTCAAATGTCAGCTGGTGAATGGAAAAATAAAATGTAGTATATTCATACAGTGGAATATTGTTCAGCAATAAAAGTAATGAACATGCTACAACATTGGTGAACTTCAAAAACAGTATTATAGTAAGTGAAGGAAGCTAGACATGAGATGCTCCATATTGTATGATTCCATTAGTCTGAAGTATCTAGAAAAGCAGATTTATAGAGAAAGTAAGTTTGCCTGGGATTGGAGCTGGGAACAGGGAACTGCACTGAAAATGGTCTAAAACTGAATTGTGGCGATGGTCACACCATTCTTTAAACTTAGTAGAAATGGTTGAATGGGTGCATTATGGTGTGTAAATGACACTTCAATGAGGCAGTTTTAAACAAAGCGTGGGGCAGAAATACTAAGCACGTGATGCACTGAGTTTTTAAACTAAAAAAACTATGTTTTATAAAAGTTATGCAAAAAAATAAAAGTTATGCATGTGGGTGGTTTTTGAAAGTTTTAAAAAATTATTTATTTATTCATGAGAGATACAGAAAGAGAGGCAGAGACATAGGCAGAGGGAGAAGAGGACTCCCCGTGGGGAGCCTGATGTGGGATTTGAATCCAGGACCCTGGGATCACGACCTGAGCGGAAGGCAGACACTCAACCACTGTGCCACCCAGGTGCCCCTGGTTTTTGAGTTTTAATTCAGTATCATTTTAACGTCTAATAGAAGAGAAGGAAAGCCTTAGCTTGAGAAGGACTGATCTCTCCATAAAATATTTTTCTAATGTAAAGCAAATAGTACTTCTAAAACAAAACAAAAATAAAGGACAGAATCCATTATCCTGCTTTTTGGAAGGATCTGTTTGCCACAGTCTGGATGCTGTAAGGTCATCAAACAATTAGTGAAGGAAAGGGAACTGATCAAGGAGATTACACTAATCAAATAAGCATTTATTTCCCTCATCAAAACCGACATGGCATTCAGTATTGATGGTATATAATAAATAGTATCTATTTATTTATAAAGATTTTATTTATTCATGAGAGACAGGCAGAGACACAGGCAGAGGGAGAAGCAAGCTCCTTACAGGGAGCCTGATGGGACTTGATCCGGGGACTCCAGGATCATGCCCTGGGTCAAAGGCAGGCGCCAAACTGCTGAGCCACCCAGGGATCCCCAATAAATAGTATTTAATAATCTCAACCTTTAATATCCTAGTTAGAATATTTCCTTAAAAGAGGAAATACTATATAAGGAAATATAAAATAATATATAATACTATATAAAAGAGGAAATACTGTATGCAACTATATTGGATTTGTATTTTCAAAATAATTCACCTAAGGTAAATATGGGTTTTTATAAAGCCAACCTGTAAAGAAAATTGGACCTTATTAAAAAAAGAAAAATCAAGATACTTCGGAATAAAATACAGAGAAAACATAGTTGTTTTTGTAGTCTTTGTTTTTTATAGCCTTATGTGGAATAAAGTGAGAATATCCTAAACCAAGCTTCATGCTCTGCTAGGTAATAATACTGCAAAGACCTGTAAATTGAAATTTATCAATTATATTGGTGGCTTCATAATTCTGTTTATTTTTAACAGCAGTTTAATGGATTAAGTGTTCCTATTCTTCAACATCCAGACCTTCAGGATGTCTTGCTCATTCCTGTTATTGGACCCAGGTTTGTAATGATTTCATTTTCAAATTAAATTCTTTTTTTTTTTTTAATTTTTATTTATTTATGTATGATAGTCACACAGAGAGAGAGAGAGGCAGAGACACAGGCAGAGGGAGAAGCAGGCTCCATGCACCGGGAGCCCGACGTGGGACTCGATCCCGGGTCTCCAGGATCGCGCCCCGGGCCAAAGGCAGGCGCCATACCACTACGCCACCCAGGGATCCCTCAAATTAAATTCTTCTAAAAATTTATCACTGGTTTTTTCTTACTGTTTGGTAATAATACTAAATAAGTTTCTCTATTATTAGTAACTTCATAAAGACAAAAGTTCACAAATTCATAAATGCTGACTTCATATTCTATCATGGAAGATACTACAAAAAACCAGGAATGGGCCCAGATACCTTGAAAGTAATGCACTTTAGGTCTATTTGGTGTAATGATTGGTTGTTTTTTCTCCTACTTTCTAAGAAACTTCTTTTCTTTATTTATATGTATTAAGAAATTCCACTGCTAATTTAAAACTACTTTTTTTTGAGCTGCCACAACACCACAAAGCAACATATTTCCTACTTTCATAGCTTATGTGTTTATAAAATTTTATTTGTTAATTCACAGTTATGTTAAATTATTATGTACTATGAGTAGAACAGGCTTTATTCTCATTTATGTATTTGGAAAGCATATATTTGAAAATGGGGGGAGAAAAGGCTCTCGTATTATAATGGGAGTTCAATTCCCAAGGAACATTTTTATGTTATATGAACATTTTTATGTTATAATTCCCTGATTATGGTTTAATATTTTTATACCCCTATGAATTATATTAAGTAGAAAAATGCTCATTTTGTAAAGCTTGAAAGTAATTTAGTGGTCAGTAGTAAAGCAGTGGTTCAGTAAATTATGATTTATTTGTGCGGTGGAATATTATATGGGCTTTAATGGGGGAAATTTTTTTTTTAATTTTTTTTTTTTTTAATGGGGGAAATTTACCAATAGGAGGTAATTAAGTATCCAAAGGAGGTTGCCATGTATAGGATAATTACATTTTTTTTATAATTACAAAAAACTACATATATATGTAGTTTATATATATAAATTTATAGAAATATATAAATTTTTATATATAAATATGTGTGTATATACATTTTATATATATATAAAAGCCAGCTGTTTAATAAAGGTTAATTTTGAGTGGTTAACTCAGAAGAGGTTGGATTGGGGGAAAAGGAGTAAGAGGAGATTTTCAAGTGTAACATTTCTGTGTTGTTTTTACTATAAGCATTATTCCTTTTGCAGTTTAAAAAAAGGATTTTGTGGGATCCCTGGGTGGCGCAGCGGTTTGGCGCCTGCCTTTGGCCCAGGGCGCGATCCTGGAGACCCGGGATCGAATCCCACGTCGGGCTCCCGGTGCATGGAGCCTGCTTCTCCCTCTGCCTGTGTCTCTGCCTCTCTCTCTTTCTCTATGACTATCGTAAATAAATAAATAAATTAATTAAAAAAAATAAAAATAAAAAAAAAATAAGAAAAGGATTTTGTGAGTTCCTTATTCTGTTTCTTAAGGTAAAATTTGCAGACAGTGAAATGGAGAGATCTTAACTAAGTGTACAGTTTGCTAAGTTTTCCCAAATTTGTACAGCTGTGCATCCAAGACCCACCCCAATTAAGATAAATGTCCATAATTCTCCCGGATTCTGTATAATGTATTTCATTCTTTTTAATAGCTGCATACTTTTTTTTTTTGAAAGATCTTATTTATTCATGAGAGACACAAAGAGAGAGGCAGAGGCATAGGTAGAAGGAGAAGCAGGCTCCCTGTAGGGAACCCCATGCAGGACTCCATCCCAGGATCCTGGGATCACGACCTGAGCCACCCAAGTGCCCTTACCTGCATACTTTTTAAATATTGTTTTCATCCATCTGTTGATGAACATTTAGTTTTTTCTTGTTTTTCATTATTACCAACAATAAATATTCTTAGGATGCTTCTTTATAGACTTACATAAGCATGTCTACAGGATAAATTGGTACCACATGTAATCACTGGTTCATTGGTCTAGGCATATTTTAGTGTGAGACGTATTACCTTCTCAAAAGTTTTACCAGTTAATGTTCCTAGCACTATATGAGAGATTCTTTTTTTTTTTAAATTTTTTATTTATTTATGATAGTCACACAGAGAGAGAGAGAGGCAGAGACACAGGCAGAGGGGAGAAGCAGGCTCCATGCACCGGGAGCCCGACGTGGGATTCGATCCCGGGTCTCCAGGATCGCGCCCTGGGCCAAAGGCAGGCGCTAAACCGCTGCGCCACCCAGGGATCCCTATATGAGAGATTCTTAATCTTCCATTCCTTTTTTTTTTTTTTTTTTTTAAGATTTTATGTATTTGACACAGAGATAGAGCACAAGCAGGGGAACAACAGGGAGCCCAATGGGGGATCAAGACCTGAGCCGAAGGCAGATGCTTAATCAACTGAGCCACTTGGGTGCCCTTCAATCTTCCATTCCTGCTAATACTGGTCATGCTAGCTCATTTAAAATATTTGGATGACTTAACTTTAATTATTTTCTGAATTTAGTACCCTTTCATCCTTTTCTTTGTAGTGATCCAGGCTACTCATTAGAATGTTAAATATGTTATAAAATACAAATGATGGGTTACGATAGAAAAGTACTCAAAAATCATTTAGAATTATAAATTCACATACTTACCTTTCACTTCTAAAAGGAGCAAATCAATTCTTTGTTTTTGTTTTTAAAACTCATTATCATTATTATTTTATGACTTTCCAGTATGAAAAATGAGGAAGTTCTTACACTTAAGTTTTATCTGCCCTAACCTCCACCAATTTTATTAACCTCCACCAATTTTTTGTTTACTGTGTTAGTTCTTTAGCATTGTACAGGTTTATAATGTTGTTCTAGAAGCACAATTCAAATGGATGCTGTGCTTGCTTTTAGTCTGACTAGGTCATTCCTGAGTTCTTTGTCTTGATTATTCCCATGGTTGGTGAGTACAGTCATTTATCAGGTCTGCAGCAGTTGTTTCCCGTCTCCAAAGTAAGTATTCTCATCTCCACTGTATTTACTTTTTTGCTTGAGAATTGCCTGTTGCCTTTATATTTAAACAATAGGTTGGCTGATTATAGTAGTTTCAGGTCCCAGGTTATTTCCCTTAGCACTTTGTCGACATTGCTTTCACAACATTATGGCATAAGTGTTGCTGTGAAAACATCAGAGGCCAAAAAAATAAAAAAAAATAAAAATCCTCTCCCTCCCCCACCAACAGCATCTTAGTTTTTGCTTGGACATCTACAAATTCTTCATCACTGAACTTAGGAAACTGTGTTAGGATATAGCTTGATTTTTATTATTCTCTTTTTTAATAAAAACAGTGTAACTTTTTAGTTATAAGTTGGCCAGTAGTTCTGTGAATATTTTTCTATATTCTCTATTATGAAACACTAGGGGCCGCCTGGGTGGCTCAGTTGGTTAAGTGTCTGCCTTCAGCTCAGGTCGTGATCTCAAGGTCATGGGATAGAGCTTCACCTCTGGCTTGGCACTCAGTGGGGAGTCTGCTTCTCCCTCCCCCTCTACCCCTCCCTCTGCTCCTACTCATGCTCACTCACACTCTCTCAAGTGAATAAATAAAATCTTAAAAACAAAAAACGGGGCATCTGCGTGGCTCAGTGGTTGAACGTCTGCCTTTGGCTGAGGTCATGATCCTGGGATCAAGTTCCACATCAGGCTCCCCATAGGGAGCCTGCTTCTGCCTCTAGCTATGTCTTTACCTTTCTCTCTCTGTGTCTCATGGATAAATAAATAGAAATTTTATAAACCAAAAAACAAAAACTTAGTACTCTGTAGGTTGGATTTCCAGTGCACATACTCCCTGTGTTGGGGCATCCCAAGACAACCCCCATGTTTGGTGATTGCCTAGAAGGACTCACAGGACTCAGCCTGTAGTTGTGCTCATGGTGAAGATTTATTACCCGAAAGGACACAAAAACAAATCTGCAAAAGGAAGGATGCATGGGGCGAAGTCCAGAGGAAGCCAAGGCACAAGCTTCCAAGAGACCTCTCCCCTATGGAGTTAATACAACATGCTTAATTCCTTCAGCAACAAATTGTGACAAGAGTAAAATAGTTGTCTAGGAGGGCTGCTTATTAGAGACTCAGTGGCGAAGGTTTTTATCGGGCACTGGTCATGTGGGCACCCTCTGCTCAGCATGTACCAAAATTGCAGGCTCCCAACAGGAAAACAGGTGTTCGGAACAAAGCACGTTGCTTGTACAAACAGTTTAGGAACAATAATCCACTCTTATCATTAGGGGAGGTTTTTAATCCATGGTGGGAACTGTTTCCCAGTCACGTTTCCAGATGCCAGCCCAGGGTTGACCTTGCAAGCAGGCCTTTCTAAAAATAGCAGTTGCAAGCCTGTTGTGTTCTCTCTTATTTCAGAGGCTTTCTTCTCATTTATTTTCCAGTTCATTGTTTTCTGGGTTTTTTTATCTTGTTTTTCTTGTATCTCATTTTTGAGTTTGCCTTATAGTTATTTTTTAAAATATAAAGACCTATTTGAAAATTTTTTCCTTGGGTTTTTATTTTATTTTATTTTATTTTTTTGCTACTACCTATATACGGGTCCCATATTGGATGAGTCTTTTCTGCTTACTACTCACAGAATGGAAAACAGTTGCATTCACATAGCTTCATCTAGTTTGCAGTTTGCTCAAAAATGTTATAGAATGAGTAAAATGTGTGCTTAGACAACTAAACAGATGTGTTCTTCAGAAACATCTTCAAGTTTTTTCTAGTGGCACCTTTTTAATCCTGGTGAGCAGAGCCGATAGACTGAGGCTCTTTGTGAGCAGTTTCAGCTCACAGCTTTTTTTTTTTTTGTACGGAGCTTTAACTTTTATTTCTGCTTAGTTAACTCTGGTGAGGAGCACCAAACTTGGCTGCTATTTCCCTTCCCTTAGCTACTTCTAGGCAGTTTATCA